TATTCTGGCATGCCATGGCTCAGGCAACTGGGCACAATTTACCTAGCATTTCTCGTGGACAAAATTGCAGGTAAATAAATGCAAACTTCACATTAGGCCCAAATTGCTCCCTAATATATCAGCTGTGTTGGAACAAATTCATGTTTTCAAAACAAGTGTTCGAGCAGAACTGTCTTTCAGTAAAATCTACCTGGCCGACTCCTAGTCATTCTCATGGCCTCAGGCTCCTAACCTCTTCTGTAGGGTTGTTGTTGTTTTTTTTAAGTTTATTTATTTTGAGACAGAGAGAGAGAGAGTGAGTGAGCAGGCAAAGAGAGAAGGGGAGAGAGAGAGAGAAAGAGAGAGAAAGAGAGAGAGAGAGAATCCCAAGTAGGCTCCACACTGCCAGCATGGAGCCTGACGTGGGACTTGAACCCATGAACTGTGAGATCATGACCTGAGCCAAAACCAAGAGTTAGACGCTTAAGCAACTGAGCCACGCAGGTGCCCCTCTTCTGGAGGGTTTTATGTCAAATTCCTATCTAAGATATAATCGATAGCTCCCTCCCTTTTGTCCTCATAGCAGGGCTTTGTATGTATGTGTCCATATATGTATCTCCATGAGAGCACAGGTCACAGTGCAGGATAGCAGATTACATATGTGTCCTCCCCTCCTCTGTGAGCACCTTCGGGAGCCCCTCATACTCATTTGGGCATTCCTAGTTGTAGCACACACAGTACCTGCTAGAGGACGCTCAGTAAATAAATACCTGGAATGGACATGATCAGAAAAAAGACAAAACGGGTGCGTGGGTGGCTCAGTCGGTCAAGCGTCTGACTTCGGCTCTGGTCATGATCTCACAGCTCATGAGTTCGAGCCCTGTGTCGACAGCTCAGAGCCTGGAGCCTGCTTCAGATTCTGTGTCCCCCTCTCTCTCTGCTCCTTCCCCACTTGTGCTGTCTCTCTCTCTCTCAAAAATAATAAATGTTAAAAAATTCAAAAAAAAGAAAAAGACAAAACAGTAACCTCAGCTAGAGAATGAAAAAAATGCTAAAGCCGCTTGAGGTTGGTGAAAACTTGGTTTAAGAGAATTTTGGAGCTAGAAAGACCTAGAAGAGGGTGTAATCTCAACCTTTCATCTTACAGGTGAGGAAAAGTGATTAATTCTCTCACTTAACATTCCATAGCTAGAATCAGATAATCATTTGGAATTAGTTGGAAAAAGTATTGCCTTCAGATGTAAAAAATTTTCTGGAAGATTATTAGCTAATTCTGGAAACATTGAAAAAACAATGTAATTCACAGAAATATACTTGGCAACATGCTTTACAAATTCCGTCCCTCTGGTCCTTGGAACTGGATAGTTATAGAAAAAAGCAAATGATTTGTAAAAATTCTTTTTTTTTTAAATTAATTTTAGAGAATGTGTGAGCGGGGGAGAGGGCAGAGGGACAGAGAAAGAGAGAATCTTTTAAGTTTATTGATTTTGAGAGAGAGAGAGAGGCAGAGAGAGAATCCAAGTGGGCTCTGAGCTGGCAGCTTGGAGCCCGACTCAGAGCTCAACCCCATGACCTGAGTGGAAATCAAGAGTTGGATGCCCAACTGACTGAGCCACCCAGGCTCCCCAATTTGTAAAAAGTCTTAATTTTTGCAATAAGGAAGCAGGGTAAAATTCTGAGCAGCCTGTCTGCGTCACCATTTTTGGGCATCTGTTGCAGAGAACAAGGGTCTTATTTCAAAGCCTTTTTCTCAAACACATTCTTAGACATTTCTGGGGGAGCACAAAGTGATTCAAACCTTGTGTCAGGGAACTTGGCACCATTTACTCAAACTTGCAGAACTGAGCCTTTGACACAGTAGTGTTGCTTTGGGAATCTCTCCTACCAGTACATCCACATGTGTATAAAGTGGCCTATGTACAAGTTTTACATTGCAGCACTGCTTTTTTTTTTTTTTTTTTTTTTAAAGTTCATTTATCTTGGGGCGCCTGGGTGGCTCAGTCGGTTGAGCGTCCAACCTCGGTTCAGGTCATGATCTCACGGTCTGTGAGTTCGAGCCCCGCGTCGGGCTCTGTGCCGACAGCTCGGAGCCTGGAGTCTGCTTCAGATTCTGTGTCTCCCTCTCTCTGACCCTCCCCCGCTCATGCTCTGTCTCTCTCTGTCTCAAGAATAAATAAACATTAAAATAAAAAAAAATTTTAAAGTTCATTTATCTTGAGAGAGAGAGAGTGCACACAAGCAGGAGAGGGGCAAGGAAAGAGGGAGAGAGAGAGAATTCCAAGCAGGCTCTGCACTGTTGGCACAGAGACTGGCACGGAGCCCCCCTCGGGGCTCGAACCCGTGCAGCGTGAGATCACGACCTGAGCCGAAATCGAGAGTTGGACACTTAACCGACTGAGCCACCCAGACACCCCTGCAGCATTGCTTTGTAATAGCAAAAGTTTGGAAACAATTCCGAGTGTCCAGCAAAAAGGAACTCAGGGAGTAGCGATGGTGTGTCCACACTGGAATATTGCTTAGCCATAAAACAGAGTGAGGAAGAGCTCAGATGTGGACATACTTATGGGATATATTATTAAGTGAAAAGAAGCAAGATACTGAAAGGCTCATATGTTATTCTTCACATGTACCCAAAGGGATGGGGATAAGAATATATACTATTTTGGGGGCGCCTGGGTGGCTCAGTTGAGCATTCGACTCTTGGTTCAGCATAGGTCATGATCTCATGGTTCATGAGTTCGAGCCCTGGGGCAGGCTCTGGGCTGGCAGTATGGAACCTGCTTGGGATTCTCTCTCTGCCCCTCCCTTGCCCACGTGTGCGCTCTGTCTCTCCCTCTCTCAAAAATAAATAAACATTAAAAAAAGAATATATATTCTTTTTATCGTATTTGAATGTGTATTAACTAATTTATTTATTTATTTATTTATTTATTTATTTATTTACTTACTTATTTATTTTTGAGACAGAGAGAGACAGAGCATGAACAGGGGAGGAGCAGAGAGAGAGAGGGAAACACAGAATCCAAAGCAGGCTCCAGGCTCTGAGCTGTCAGCACAGAGCTCGACGCGGGGCTCGAACTCACGGACCGTGAGATCGTGGCCTGAGCCGAAGTCAGATGCTCAACCGACTGAGCCACCCAGGGGCCCCTATTAACTATTTTTTAAAGCCCCAATGATTTAAAGAGAGAGAAAAGAAAGAGTAAAACACAGCATAGCTGACCACATCACCTTGCCCCACAGCCGGCTTCCTACTTAGTTGAGGGGTGGAAACAGGGAGGGACTCAGCCTGAAACTGAATTTGGACTTGTGACGAGCACAGGGGACCCGACATCCTCATTGCTAGCTCGAGACTGTCGGTCCTGTCGGGGTTCTTGACCTGTTTTCGTGGCAGGCTGGGAAAGCCTACAGCTCCCTTGCAGAAGAATGTTTTTAAAGGAATGAAATAAAATACATCAGATGGTAGAATACATAGGAAGGCTGTTTGAGCAGAGAGGATGTGGGATGATTAAAGCCCGGAGGTCTGGGAGCGCTGAGAAGAGCCTCAGCCTGGCTCAAATGCGGGCCCCCTGGGGAGGAGGAAGAGGCTGAGGAGGCAGGCTTTCCCTGCACCCTGAAGTCCACCAGCTGTGTCTACCGCTGTCTTTCCAGGTATCATCCTTCTCTTTCCTTCTTTTTCGCCTTTTTAAAAATTGATCTCCCAGGGGCGCCTGGGTGGCTCAGTCGATCAAGCATCCAACTCGATTTCGGTTCTGGTTCAGGAGATAGAGCCCCGCATCGGGCTCTGCACTGACGTGAAGCCTGCTTGGGATTCTCTTTCTCTTCTGTCTCTGCCCCTCTCCCACTCGTGTGCACATGCTCTCTTTCTCTCTCTCAAAATAAACAAGGGGCACCTGGATGGCTCAGTCAGTTAAGCATCTGACTTCGGCTCAGGTCAGGATCTCACAGTCCATGAGTTCGAGCCCCGTGTCGGGCTCTGTGCTGACAGCTCAGAGCCTGGAGCCTGCTTCGGATCCTGTGTCTCCCTCTCTCTCTGCCCCTCCCCTGCTCATGCTCTCTCTCTCTCTGTCTCTCAGAAATGAATAAACATTAAAAATAAATACATAAAGGGGCGCCTGGGTGGCGCAGTCGGTTGAGCGTCCGACTTCAGCCAGGTCACGATCTCGCGGTCCGTGAGTTCGAGCCCCGCGTCAGGCTCTGGGCTGATGGCTCAGAGCCTGGAGCCTGTTTCCGATTCTGTGTCTCCCTTTCTCTCCGCCCCTCCCCCGTTCATGCTCTGTCTCTCTCTGTCCCAAAAATAAATAAAAACGTTGAAAAAATAAATACATAAATAATAAACATTAAAAAAAAAAATCTCCAGAACACCTAACAATGCTAACTAACCAAGCCCTCAGTAAGTACTTGTAATTAACAGTGGCACTTACAATTGTCGATTCTTATTGATGACCCTTGTCATCATTAGGGGCTCATGACATAGTCCATATTAAGGCTGACAAAGAGACAGTTATATCTGGGTGTTAGTTGATTGCCAGAGTTTAAGGCATAACATACATGGTAAAGCAAACAGAGCCTTCCAACTAGGCAATTAGAGACGAAAGGGCCCCACACATGAATAGGAAATCAGTACCTCTTTGCTGGATGGATGCTTGTTGTTTGAAATTACTTCATTGTGGGGGCGCCTGGGTGGCGCAGTCGGTTAAGCGTCCGACTTCAGCCAGGTCACGATCTCGCGGTCCGTGAGTTCGAGCCCCGCGTCAGGCTCTGGGCTGATGGCTCGGAGCCTGGAGCCTGTTTCCGATTCTGTGTGTCCCTCTCCCTCTGCCCCTCCCCCCTTCATGCTCTGTCTCTCTCTGTCCCAAAAATAAATAAACGTTAAAAAAAAAAATTATAAAAAAAAGAAATTACTTCATTGTATTTCATTAATTCCTTAGGTCTTTTAAAGGCATTTCTGCTATATTTGTGTATTGTCTTAAGTACTGTCCAGTTTTTCTCTCCTGGGTACTAATTTAGAAGTTGTTTTATAGAACTTAGAAGTCTCAGAAGAGTCAGCTCAAAAAAATACCCTCCTTACTAACTGAAGAAAACAAAAGTCAACTTCAGTATTCACTGTGGTCAGAGGTAAGTCACTTTTGTTTATCTCCCTTTATATCTCAATTGATATTTAATAAGTAACTTGGGAACGTTGATAATGTAGAGTCAAGGCCATGCATTTGTTTGACCTGTAATCCTTTCTCTTGTTTGACCTATTTGTACATACCTTCTAAATTTAATCAGTAAAATGTCAGTTATTTGTATGAGAAATGCAGATCAAAAAGTTCTTGTTCTCAATACCTAGAATTTTAAATATAAGGATATGAATACAGATAGCTTTCAAAATCAGAATCTAAATTAACATTTCAGCCTTTCATCTGGATATCTGTCCGGAAAGAAATCTTTTCATAGGGTTTCAATTTTATAAAAACGTTCATTGACTGGAGCACCTAGCTGGCTCAGGCCATGGAGTGTACATTCATGATCTCGGGGTTGTGAGTTCGAGCCGCATGTTGGGTGTAGAGACGACTTAAAAATAAAATCTTCAGGGGTGCCTGGGTGGCTCAGTCAGTTAAGTGTCCAACTCTTGGTTTCACGCAGGTCATGATCTCATGGTTCATGAGTCCCAGCGCCTCATCAGGGTGCAGAGTCTGCTTGGGATTGTCTGTCTCTCAAAATAAATAAATAAACAAAAAAATAAATAAAAAGAAAAAATCTTGGGAAAAAAGGCTAATTGGTGTAGTTTGCACTTTCTTGATTTGTTTCCTTCTGTTAAACCTACATTTCATATGCAAAGTTTCTTCAGAATCCAGTCTGAGAAGTTAAAAGACATAATCATTTCAGATGCTTTCAGGGTAAGCAAGAACTCTGTGAAAGCAGTCAACGCAGGTAGCTATTCCCTGTCTCCTGTTCTCTTTCTCTCTCTTTGCTGAGAAGCTGTAAGACTTGTGGTACTTTGCACGACCTTAGGTAGACAAAAATCAGGATGTACATAGTTAATTTTTTAGAGACTGTGAATTAGAACACACTGCCCACCGCTCTCCTTGACTTGATTTTATTCACTCTGTCGTTTCCTTCCTGCAGAAGCCGATTTTCCAACTTTGGAAGGCAGGAAGCAGACATCAATACCTAATGCTTAACCTTGAAAACAAAAAGAGGATTGTAATCCTTTGTAAGCAACACTTAATACCAAAGGGAAGCAGAAACTGAAAGTTAGTTTTTCAACATCTGTATTTTCTTGCTTTTCAAGTTGACCGTTTTCATGTCGAAGAAATATTGTTTTATGTGTAAGCAATTAGACCTTATTGTGTATTGTCTGTATACACAATTATGTATATTATGCTCACAGAGAAAAAGACTTCTCTGTAAAGATGCAGACTAGAATTAAGTACGAGAGAAGCTCTTTAAAAGTGTGAACATCAAATCGAGAACCCCTGCATATAAAGTGCTATTTTCACTCTCTGAGTTTTAAAAAACCTGTGCATGCATTTAAACTACAACCAACAGCTTATCAGAGACAGCTGTAAATATATGAGAAATAGTCTCCTCCTCTTTCGTGGCTTTTGCTCTGGACTTCGCTGTGTAAAATAGACATAAAATGATATGACAGAACATATTTTTAACTGGAAAGTATCTCATCAGTTACTGACAATCGAGGCCCGTCTGTCCCCGAGCTGAACAGAGAGAACCCCATCGTGTCTGGGTCTGTAGTAAGTCCCATCTACTCATACAAACAAAGGCTCGCTGGAAGATCAAATTTTATATGCGTTTTTTTTTTTCTTTATCATTAAAGACTAAAAACACTTCCCTTTTAACTTGTAATTTAATTTTTTAAAGAATATACTAATGTGCATTTCTATCCCTTCTAAAGAAGAGAATTGATCAGCTTCAGCCAATAAAAAATATTTTTAATAAGAAAAATAACTCTCTTGGGTTTCTTTGTATTATACAGGAGTGAAATAAGGAAGGGTAGTCGCTTAAAACCCAGCCTGGCCAGTGAATTTCCTCGGGAGTGGGAATGTAGTTTTCTTAAGCATTGCAGTTATCAAGGTTCCGTTGTGCTGTATAAATGCCCCTTTGTTGAAAGGTTTCAGTGCTACTTCAGAGATGATTTTCGTGAGAGTGGAGGAGCCACCTCACGTAGCCTTTTTAATTAGGGTGCTGAAAAGAGAAATTGGGTGAGGTTCTGCCGAAGTTCTTTATAAATGCTTGCTTTCTCCTGCAGGCATGGCCGGCCGGTCTGTGCAGAGCGAGTCTGAGAAAGGTACAGTTGATTCTGAGCTGTTGGAAACCTAAAATGTCCCCGGGGAGGCTGATTTCCAGCCTGAGAAACAAAATATGAAAATTTCTCCTTCTCTTAGCGCTAGGTTCGTGGCTACACGTCACTTGCCCAGTGAAAAGAGAAAGAGAATACTGGCGAGATGCTAGTAAGTAGGAAGATTTCAGGGAACTATAGAATTTGAAAAAAAAAAAAGTCAAAACTTATTCTGTGGCTAAATGTACTTGAGCTCCTAGGGTTATAATATCTACAGTTCCTATCTTACCCCACCACATTATTGTGAATTACAGCACGTATAACCCCAAAATGGGAAATCTTAATATTATCATCTACTTCTCTGTCTCAACCTAAGTTACTTAGATATGTGAGCAGTTTCTGTTAGGGAGACTCAGCCTCAGTATGTTTGAAAGAGTTGTGAGATCAAACCAGATTTGAGCATCCTGATTTTGTCGTCAACATTCTATCATCTTTTTTTTTTTTTTAATTTTTTTTTCAACGTTTTTTATTTATTTTTGGGACAGAGAGAGACAGAGCATGAACGGGGGAGGGGCAGAGAGAGAGGGAGACATCCCAAGCCAGTCTTCACACGGCCTTCCTCTCTCCTTGTCTTCTCCCCTCATATGAACACTTGTCATTGGATTTAGGGACCACCCGAATCTAGGATGATCTCATGTCGAGATCCTTTTTTTTTTTTTTTAAAATTTTTTTTTTTAACGTTTATTTATTTTTGGGACAGAGAGAGAGCATGAGCGGGGGAGGGGCAGAGAGAGAGGGAGACACAGAATCGGAAGCAGGCTCCAGGCTCTGAGCCATCAGCCCAGAGCCCGACGCGGGGCCCGAACTCACGGACCGCGAGATCGTGACCTGGCTGAAGTCGGACGCTTAACCGACTGCGCCACCCAGGCGCCCCCTTTTTTTTTTTTTTAATTTTTTTCCCAACGTTTTTTATTTATTTTTGGGACAGAGAGAGAACATTCTATCATCTTAAGAGGAGGCAAATAAATGGTAATACAGTTTGCCTGCCAGAAGTTATCTCGGCCTTCTATCAGAAGAGACTGGTGTGGGGGCCCCTGGGTGGCTAGTGGGTTAAGCATCCAGCTCTTGAATTTAAGTCATGATCTCACAGCTTGTGAGTTCGAGCCACACATTGGGCGGGGGGGGGGGGGGGGCCCGTGCTGACGGCGTGGAGCCTGCTTGGGATTCTCTTCCTCCCTCCCTCTCTGCCCCTCTGCCACTCGCGCTTGCTCTGGCTCTCTCTCAAAAATAAATAAAAATCTGAAAAAAGAAAAAGAGACTGGTGTAAGGGTACTTTTAGAATTTGTGGGCAGATCTAAACAAAAATAGAAATACCCCAAAAGAAAGTCTGATTCAAGATAATATGTAAACACTAATAACAGTTTTACCTAAAAAGTTGTAGTAGAAAAGCACGGAATTGAGAGGCTCCGTGGGGTAAGGTTGGTCCAGACTAAGAAACCAGACACATTAATCACAGCAGGCAAGGTAGGTTAAAAACCAGAGTGGTCTTTGAGAGGAGTTTATCAAATGAGGAGGGCACATTAATCAGTCCTGTAAAGGATGATTTCTGGGTTCTCAGCCAAATGCACACTTAGGACATCTAACAAAACAAAATAATTTGAGCACACAGTAAACACTGCTTTGCTGGCCGCTGGGGAGACAACAGTGAGCAAAGCAGACTGAATCCTTGTTTACAATGGAGGAGACAGACCTTAATTAATCACAAATAGGTCATAAAAACTGGTAAGTGCTATAAAATAAAGCTTTGAGCTACTGTGACAGCATATATCAGGGACACATGTTAAGGGCGGAGGCTTCAGTTCTTACCTGAACTAAGAGCTGAAAGATAAGTAGATGCTAGCCAGCAAACAGGAAGAGGAAGAACATTCCTGACCATGGTAACAGCATGTGCAAAGGCCCTGAGGTGGAAAGGAGCGTGATGCATTTTCAGACCTGATGAACTAGGATGGTGCAAGACGAAGCTGGACCGAGAGGCTGGGGCCAGATCATACACACGTGTCATTGAGGCAGTGTGGGGATTACAGCCTTGTCATTTCAGTAAGCCCAATGATGTAATCTCTAGTGTTCATCTTCCTGGGGCTTCCTTGAAATGAGGTCTCATACATACCCCAAATCCTTTGCCTTTGTAATAGCCTCCAGAAAGCATTACACAGCCCTGGAGCCACAGCAAAATGGCACCCTCATGCCGATGACAAGGAGAATTTCAGCCAACCAGTGACAGGGGCCAGTACTAGAACCAGATCTGCTGCCTGAAGGTGTTACCCGAGATGCACTTCAACAAATTCAGAGGGGGGAAGCTTCTATCCTTGTGTCCCAGGCTGCTCGTTTTAGAAAATCAAGCCATAGGTTGAAGCGTACCAAATTATGGGGGGTTATTCAACTCACCTTTTCAGCCCTTGATTTCACACACATTTATTGGACATCGCTAATGTGCCGGGCACTCTGCTGAGGTTATCAAGTGGAGTCAGATGGGTGGTCCTTGCCCTCCAGGATCTCAAAAGCTTCCACACAGACAAATTATAATTCATTAGAGATATTTTAGGAAAGTGCTCTTGGATCCCAGTAACAAACCATTCTTAAAAAGAGAGGTAGCTGGTTGCTGATGTTACGCAACTGTGGCAGATGTTTCCAGACCCAGGGGGGTTGCTGTCTGTTTGAAAGAAGATGCTGTGTTAAGTAGGAACTTCACAGGATAACTTGATCTTGTTCAATGTGGAAAACGGAGTGTGAGAAACAGCTGGTCTGGAGCCAGCACGCCCCTTTGCTGTGGTCTTTATCAGACCACAGCTGTTGACTAGAGTGCTGGGGATTGAAAACGAAATAGTGCGTGTAAAGGATTTAGCTCAATGCCTGGCAAATAATAAGCATTCGATAAATATTAGCCGTTGTTATTTTGGTGAAGACGCTGTTCAGGGATTGGAATTGGGTAAAAGCACGGTTAATTCCTCTCTGGTGGAGTCAGAGGAGAGAGCCTTGTCACACACAGTTTTAAGTGCCCCGTATCAGCTGTGGGGCAGGCAGAGAGCCATCGGTGAAGTTACGGAAAGGGAGACCACCTTCGGGGTTCTGTAGGCATCACTCTCCGGCTTCAAGGGGAGTCCTGTATCGGGTGACTTCACACCTACATTCTGAGAGCAAAACTGAGGACAGCAGAAACAAAATGACCATCTGATAAGCATACACTTGGGAGAACTGTGGGGTTTATGTTTTGTTTTTGTTTTTGTTTTTTTTACTTCAGTCTTGTGACCGATCATTTAAAAAGCAAACAAATAACAACAGGGTTTTTTAAAGTCTCACACGACCTCCGGTGGCATGCCCCTTGATGGCCCCGCGCTGTGCTGTGTTCAGATCCGTCCGCAGGCTGTCCCAGCCCTGCCTGTCCTCTTCCCCTTGCAGTTCCTCGGCTCTGGCAAGGTGTCCGATGCGGAGCCTGCAATCTCCGAAGATTCATCCCACAGCCCCGCGTTGAGATGCACAGAGAGGGGAGAGCTTACTTGTGTGCATTCTGACACATAAATTAATATAAGACTAAAAAGGGGGAAAAATGCCTAGTTGTGCTTCCGTTGGTCAGATTCGTTGAGGCCAAGTTTTCTCCAGTGAGCCAGATCCTGCTCCGGTGTAGACGGGACTTACTAAGTGCGGAGCGGAGGTTGCGGGGAAGGGACTCGACCCAGGGGGGGTA